GGGGGAGCGCCGTCTGGTGGGCACCGGGAATGGGCACCGGGAATGGGGCACTGGGAATGGGGAACTGGGAATGGACACCGGGAATGGGCACCGGGAATGGGGCACTGGGAATGGGGAACTGGGAATGGACACCGGGAATGGGCACCGGGAATGGGGCACTGGGAATGGGGAACTGGGAATGGACACCGGGAATGGGCACCGGGAATGGGGAACTGGGAATGGGCACCAGGAATGGGGAACTGGGAATGGGGCACCGGGATTGGGGCACGGCACCGGACACCGAGAGTGAGCCAAGCACCAGGAATGGGGCACGGCACTGGGAGAGAGCCAAGCCCCGGGAATGGGGCAAGCACCGGGCACAGGGAGTGAACCAGGCGCTGGGCACTACACTGGGACTGCACTGGGCACTGCACTGGGCACTGCACTGGGCACCGCACTGGGCACCGGGCATACAGCACAGCACTGGGAGTGAACCACACTGGGCTCTGCACCGAGCGCTGCTGTGGACGCTGAGGGTGCCCCGGGCACCACCAGGCACCCACCACCCAGGCTGGGTCCCCCAGCCGCACTAACCCCTCACTGTCACCCCCTGCCACGGGTACTCCCTGCCCAGCCCCGCTCCAGTGCCAGCAGCTCCGAGACCACCCAGGGCTGCAGGCACCAGGAACAATGTTAATACAAAAGAAAACTTGGGCCTTTTTCCATTTTCCATGGAAAAAAATCCTTTTCCCGCCATACCCAATCCCCAATTCCTGCAGCACCAGTGGGCAGGGGTTGCCCAGGGTCTTCCCTGAATCCTGCTGCCTTCCCAAGACCTTAATACAGATGGTGGGAGAAGAAGCAAAAGAAAAGTCTAACAGCTCCGGGATGAAACATTTAATGGGAAGAGAAGTGGGATATGGAGCCTGGCACAAACCACACAAAAGAATCCAATGGGCAGCCCGAAAACTCCGCTGGCTGCTTTGGTGATGTGGGTGGCAGAAGAAACTCAATGAGCAAAAAACAGACTCTAAAAATCCCGTTAGTATCAGGGAGGCCTCTGCTTTTCCTGCCTGGAAGGGCCAACGGGGCTGGGTGCCTTGGAATAAAAGACTTAAAACCTTTAAATCCACCAAACGCTTCTCAAAGGCATCACCCAACGATGAACCTCAGGTATGGAAAACCACCCATGCACGTCCCAGCTCGGACCACCAGGATTTTGGGGGATGTTGCTGTGGGGCTTGGGGTGTTTTGTGGGTTTTTTTATTTATTTAAAATATCACAGTTCCCTCCCCAAAGGGGGTTTCTTAGGAGTTTCAGGGTGTTTCCAGTTAAAACTGAAAGTTGTAAGTTGGGGAAAAGCAAGTGGGTCTTTGCAAGATTAAAAGATGTTGTGTCATCCAGCTGGGAAACACACGGGAAAGCTTGGGCCACCATGGGGCCGGCGGGGACCCCACGAGGGTCCTGCACTGCCCCCTTAGCTTATAAAAAGTAATAAATTAATTAAGGAATATTTGTGTCGAGTCCTTTCTATACACAAAGGTGGTGCCCTTGCCGGGGAAACGCTGCCGCCGGAAAAGCTCCCGCGTCTCTATAAAAATATGAGCATCTTTTTTAGGGGGTACAAAACGCCTTTGGGGGAGGCCAAGGGCCGGGGCACAGCCAGCGCCGACGTCCAGAATGGCTCCAGGGATGGTTACACCATGGCCATGCCATGCAGGATGGGTTTCGGTGGGATACCATGGGAAGCCAGCGCCATCCCGGGACCCGGCTCCGCTCCATGCACTGCCCCGGGTTGCTGGGAACTGAGCGCTCCCGGTTCCCGGTGGTTCCCTCTCCTCAGTTCCGGTGCTGGCGGGAGCCGTGATCCCAACGCTGGCATCCATCCCACCGCAGGGAGGAGGTGCTGCCGTGGGGCTGCTCGGTGTTCCCGATGGGATAGGAGCCCCGGCATTCCCACTCGGCCACCGCCGGCTCCTGCTCGTCGCTCTCGGAGCCCTGCACCGCGATCTGCGGCACCGGGCTGGCCTTGGCTGGGCCCTGCCCGGCTTCGCTCTTCCCACCCTCCTCTGGCTCATCAAAGCTCACTTCTTGAACAGCTTCTTGCTTCTTGAAGGAATCCCGACGCTCCGAGAGGTTCAAGCGCCTCATCACCACCACCTCCTGGTCCCGGTCGTGTCTCTCCCAGGTGCTAGGGGGGTGGTAACCGTGCTCCCCGGGGTACACTGGCGCTTCGCCCTCCCCAATGGCCTCCCCATCCATGGTGGGCAGGTCCACCTTGCGCCCACCGGCTGTCTTCTTCTCTGCCAGGATGGTGACGATCTTCTCGGCTGACTGGACGCGTTTGAGGAGCGGGGAGCGGGGGCAGTCGGCGCTGCGGGGCCGGGAGCTCTGCCGGACGATGGTGGGGGGGGACAAGGTCTTTCCCTGGAAGGGAGGGGGGGCTTTGGGGTGCCCAGGGAGGGGAGATGGGGAGGGTTGGGGAGAAGGTGGGCGCTGGGAGGATGAAGGGGTGCAGGCGAGGGGTGAGGGGGGGATGCTGCTGGTGGATTTGCGCCGTCCCACTTTGTAGCGTTGCCCACCCAGTTTGGGTGCCAGGCCGTGCAGGGAGCTGGGGCGCACGTGGCCGGCGGGTGACGTTGGGGTGCTGGAGGAGGGAGAGGTGCTCTGTGGGGACACAGCATCTGCCACACAAAAGAGAAATGGGTCAATGGGAAGGACGGAGGGAGGACAAGCGACATCCCACCATGCCCAGAAACCATCACTGCAAGAGACAGAGGGACACACGGCGTCCTGCCATGCCCAGAAATGGTCACCATGAGGAACAGGGGGGACACACGGCGTCCTGCCATGCCCAGAAATGGTCACCATGAGGAGCAGGGGGGACACACGGCGTCCTGCCGTGCCCAGAAACGGTCACCGTGAGGACGGAGGGACATGCAGCATCCGGTCACAGCTGGAGCTGTGGGTACCTGGGGGCAGGTCAGGAGCAGGGCTGCGGCAGGGCGTTGGGGGACCCGGGGACAAGCTGTGTGTGGGGGACTCTGGAAGGCTCTCGCTGGAGGACAGCGAGTGATGGAGGCCGGAGGAGAAGCTGCGGCTGGTGTGCAGGACTGAGGACTGCTTGGAGATCTTCTTGAAAAGGGATTTTCTCCTGCTGGAAGGAACAAAGGTGGCAGAAAAAGGAATAACCTGAGTCTGCTGAGCTGGTGCCAGCAGGACTGGATGCCACTGGACCCCTCAGTACAACAGAACTGGAACATCCCCCCAGACTGGCAGAGGTGGGATAAATGTGGTTTTATCCCACCTGGGTTCCACCCACCTCTCCTGGCCATCCCTTTTCCTGCTCTTCTTACTCCTCCGTGCCATCCTCGTCTTAGAACTGTTTTTCCGAGCTGGGCCAATTTTGATGGAGGTGTTCTCCAGGGCCGTGGTCCGAATAGCCACTTTATTCCCACTCTGAAGGGTGGAAAAAAAGCAGCTGCAGCACTGGATCCAAGCACTGGATCCAAGCACTGGATCACAGCACAGGATCTAAACGGGCTCTCGCCTTGGCTGCCAGTGGAAGCGATGCCAGAGAGTAGCCGGATTGATGCCCTGATGCTGGGAACCAGCTAGGTGAGGAACGTGGCACTGGTCACCCACCTTCAGCAGCAGCTCCACGACGTCCCGGTGAACCAACCCCAGCACCGACTCCCCGTTCACGTGTGTGATGAGGTCACCAGCTCTCAGCCCTGCTTCCTGTGCCGGGCTCCCTTCTTCCACGCTCTGCAACCCGAAAGGTGGAGATTTCATTCCAGATCCAAACCTACATTTCCACGTGGAGTTTTCCCACAGGGAAACACGGTGTCTGGCACTGCTGGTCCCTCCCCACCTACCCAGACCATGTGGTGGACGGTGTAGACGTCACTGTCCCCCATGTAGACGCGGATGGCGCGCAGGGTGAAGCCGGATGATGATGGGTGGCCGGAGGCTGGCAATGGCCAGGGATGAGTCTCGGCTTGGTGAGGAGTCACGGGAAGAGGGGTTGGACGAGAGGGAATGGGGGGAGATGGGGCTCATCAAGGCACCACCACCACTGATGTCATCTGCAAGAGGGAGATACCAGCTCAGCCCGAGATAAAACCACACAGCAACCGCCATCTGGTGGGATAAACTACACAGTGCAGGGACCTGAGGTGATGATGAGGGACAGGGCTGAGACAGAGGCGGATTTGGGGACACGAGTGCCCGGTGAGGTTCGCTGCCGGTCCGGCACGTCCTTCTGGCTGCTCAGCCGGCGGCGCCC